ACCCTAGAAACAATCCACAATTATAGCTTGGTAATATGTTTACAATGATATTGCAAACATCATGACAACGCATGTACTGGCACACAGCTAGCAGGCTCTAAATGTGACATCTGTCTATCCAGTAGTGGTACTGCTATGGTTTGCATCTAGTTGTCCCCCCAAAACCTCATGTAGTCACTGGGGTGGACTTCTACAGTTTGTGACTAATTCATGATCCAATGCTGGGATTATGGGTGTGAGAGCTACACCCACCCTGGTGGTGGTGAGGGGAGCCCGAATGCAACCTAAGTAAGAGAGGCCTGCTCTCTGCCTCTGCAGCTGCTGCCGCCGCCACTGCTCCTCCCTTTTGATCTTGCTGTTTTGCTATTTTCTGCCACCATAAACTGATGTTCTCTGCCATGTGTCACTCTGCTTTGGAGCCAGCTGATTATGCACTGAAACATCTACAAACCGTGAACTAATAAACTTTTTTTTCCATAATTTTGGGAGTCAGGTATTTTGTCCCAGCAATGAGAGAAAAGTAACTGAGACAAGTACAAAAGAGTTCAACAGTAATTTTACAGACTACACTATGTAAAAACCAGTAGAGCCTTACAGGTATACATAAAAGATACAGGGAATTAGGAACAGAGCACTGCAAGAAGAAAAAGAATGTGAAACCTTAAAAGTAGACAACATAGGGGGCTGGGGAGATGGCTCAGTAGAATAAGCGCTTGCCTGGCAAACACAGGGCCTGAGTTCAATCCCTGGTTCCAAAAAAAAAAAAAAAAAAAAGTAGACAACGTAGAAGGCAAAGAGGAAAGCGGTGTGAAACATTCCTAAAGGCACTGGAGGGATGTGTGTATGAGTAAAATTAACAAGAAAAATTGCTGAAATGTAAAATAAAGAAGGGACAAAAAAGAAATACAAAGAAGAAAAGGAAAAAATTCAAGGGGGAAAAAGTAAAAGAAAGAATAGAAAACACCCAGAAAAACAAGTACATAAGAAAATAGGAGGAAAAAGGACAACAGAAATGTTGCAAAACAAACTGGAGAAGAGTAAAAAGAAGAAAACCATACTCACTTGTAAAGTATTAAATACAAATTTGGAAAAAAGAGAGATTTGTACAGGCTGGGCTGAACCCTAGCCCAGACGTATTCCTGCTCAAGCTGGTAGATGAAGGGAGGAGGAGTCAGTACCACATCTGGGCTGGATGCCAGCTCCAGCAGACACTGGGGCAAGCGCGCCACGTCCAGGGCTTTCCCAGGCAGAGTAAGTCGGGCAGCACCTGAGCATGGCTGTGGAGTGTGGGCTGCCTCCCTCAGCTCAGACGCCTCCTGCGGTGCTGTCTGATGCAGCCAGCTCCAATGGGTGCCTCTCACCCAGTCCCTGGGGGAAGGTAACAAGGGGAGCCCTAGAGAGAAGCCTTGAAGAAGCTGAGTGTCAGAGAGGTTGAGTTGATTCCCCTCACGGCTTAACCATTTTCCTCACCCTCTCTGGTGTATTTCAGTGTTAGGTTTTTAGGTGCATTCCTGTTACTACAGATGACTCCAATTTATTCTTCTTCATGGCAGAGTATGCCTTTGTGGATAATTATGTTTTCTTTATCCATTCTTCTGTCTTCATACATACCGCTTTTATTTCTTTGTCTTTCTTCAGTGGTCAGGCTAAAGTTTTGGGGAGAACATTAGAAAACTCCTCACAGTGAGTATCATTTTGACCTCTCCTTGCACTTTTCCTCGGATGGAACAGCATTGTGCACTCTGCAATGTCCCGATGACACGAATTAGAAGTGAGCTGTAGTAAAGTTAGCCACAGCTTAGGCATGTAACTTGTAGCACTACACTCTGCAGTAAAACAGTTTTAGAAGCATGTTTCATATTTCATAATAGACAATTTTTTAAATGTATTTGGTACAGGGTCTCAATCTGAATCTTGGACTTGTACTGGTCCTCCTGTTGTCAGCCTCCCCAGTGCTGGGATGACAGGCGTGCACCACCATGACCAGGGGTGGGGCCAGCATGGCTTGTGGTGCTGGGGATGGCACCCCGGTCCCTGCGCTTGCCTGAGCAGGCACTTGGTCTGCTGAACTATCTCACTGGCCCTTATAAGACGTAATTTTTGCCAGATGTGGCAAATGCTTGTAATGCCTGCATTTGAGAGCCTAAGGACTAACATGAGTTTGAGGCCATCTTGGGCTACATGGTGACACCCTGTCTCAAATTTTAAAAATAAAATAAATAAAATTTGTAAACTATTACTTACCTGATGGTTAATTTAATTGTCTAATGATAATTAACTTAGGTTAGAATGAGGGATACTGCTCACTTATGCTTTGACCTTGCCTTATTGGAATGCAATCCATGGAAAATTGAGCAGCTTCTGAACTGAAGGACAAAACAATGCAGGATATTTTACAAAGCAGTGCAGCACTAGGAAGTAAGGCAAAATGAGCCACAGACGTCAGGTGGTCTCAGAGTCAGCTTACTCAAGTCCTATGCAGTACAAGTGACACCACTTCCTTCAAAAATTAGTATACACTTATCCCCAAAGTAGATAAAAAGGGAGCACAAATGAATCACAACACTCATTTTTTATTCTAGTAAGAGATTTGAACTTCCCTGGATTAATTTTTTTTTTCCCAAAGCAAACTATCCACAGTATACACACACACACACACACACACACACACACCACACACACACACCACACACACACAGTTTCATTATGAAGAAAGCCAAACAGAAAACTGTGCAAACAAACATCAACACTGCCAAAACTCCTAGAAGCGAGCAGGGAATATAGGTTAGAGGCACAGCACCTGCCTAGCAAGTGCAAGGTCCTTACTCCAATTTCCGGTGTAAAAAAATTCCTAAGACTATTCTGCCTGACAAACCAGGTCAGACTTTATAGCTGGCAGATAGGTCATTACATGACATTGTATCTTCTTTGAGAAACTATGGTTCTGCTGGTTTCATTCAGTGATGGACTCACAAAAATACCTACTTTTGATAGCAGATTCAATAATTACCTCCCCAATAAAGCATGGCAATATGAGCATGAAAAGAAAAGTGTAATAAGACAACCAATACTGTATAGTGAGAAAAGCGCAAATTATGCACTGCACGTAATCTGTAATTATGTTGTTATATGAACAGATATCTTCTTAAACAGGATATTTGCTAATTTAAATGTTTGGAAGGATGAAAACTTACATACGTGTACAGAAATTACTAGCAATATAATTGTAAAATGTAACATCCAATTAAAAAATTATTGCTAGAATAACAGCGTGCAGCAGTTTCAAATACAAGCTAAAGGAAAATACAATTTGTGGATCATGTTACCCCATACTCAATGCAAAAAAAAGAACTGAGGAGGGGGCTGGTGAGATGGCTCAGTGGTCTAAAGCACCTACTTAGAACAAGCTTAGCAAAGCACAGGGACCGCCATTCAATCCCCCAGCACCACATGCCAGCCAGCCGCGCCCCCTGGTGGGCTAAGCTGGCCACACACACACACACACACACACACACACACACATAAATAAATGAATAAAATTTAAAAAAAAATCTTTATAAGTACAGCTTACTTCAACTTTGGATCTAATATACTGCAAAATAAACAAAATTATGTACCTTGAGACAATATTAAACTCCTGTGCCATTGCTTATCAGAAGCCATCAAATAATGTGAACACACTTAAGTGTATTTTGTTTTGTTTGAAATAGGGCTTCACTTTGTAACCAGGTTGGCCCAGAAATCACAATGATTCTCCTGCCTCAGCCTCTCAAGAATTATAGCACTGTACCACTACTCCTGGCTACCACATATTTTCTTAAAAGTGAACTTAAAATTATTTATCAAGGGATCTATGTTAAGACAGAGCTTACAATATTTCCATTTTAGGATATTTCCTGCATATGTGTATTTTTTGAGAAATAACTGATCTCACTTTTTTAAATGAATTTCGTAAAGGGCCTCACTGCACAACTCAGACTCATAGATTCTCCTGTTTTCAGTCTCCCAGTGCCAGGATAACAGGCGTGTGCCACCCACAGCGGGTCTCCGTGGCCCACTCAGGACACCCAGGGGTGGGGCTGGTGCACTTGATCTCATTTTTATGCAACTCATTTTTTTTAAAGGTATGAACCATAGGAGAAGTGATCAAATTTGGAAAATGAGTTACACCTAAGACCACTGTACACTGCTTTGCCATAACATTCATCCTCCAATGGAGAAAAACTGACACTTGTGCACAACCTCTGTATCAATGCTTCCATGCAATTGTTTGCCGTAGGAATTAAAATAACTAAAGGTATTCCCACACAATAAACATTGAATTTCCCCACTATGCAATTAAGTTTTATGAGACATAGTGTGAAAATGATTTTCCTTGTTCTGTATTAACACTCATGAATTTTTTTTTTTATGTTATATACATAACACAACACTTTCTCACATTATTTACACAGGGTTTCCCTTTAGTGGAAACTGATGTATTCCAAGGTAAGTGGAAGAAGGGTTTCCATATATGCAATATCCTCTATCATGTTTTTTCATATATTAAAAAAAAAACCTGCCACATCCCTCACATATGTTCCACGTCTCTTCACTATCAATTCTTTCTTGTATGTGGTGATACTTGTGTGGAATGCAAAAGGTTTAATGCTGTTTATAAGAAAGTTCCTCCTCAGTCTGATTCATGTCTAAGTCACTTCATATGCTCAGTTACTGTACTCTCTGTTCTGTCTGCATGATACTGAATGCACAGAGCCTTTTCCTGTTTCTACAGACTTTATCCCGGGTAATTTATTTCATACACTTGATAATACCTTTGTATACTGAACACATCCACACACTGCTTATATACATTGCACTTTAAGTGTGTTTCTTCATATGTTCATTAATGATCATGTGAGCTCAAAGTTTTCTCACATTGGTTACATGTGTGTTTACTCATGAGTGACCTTTCATTTGACAAACACAATGTGTAATGAAACTTTTTCCACACTATTTATTTCATAAGTTATTTCCTGGAGTGTGAGTCTTTTCATGTTCTTGACAATCTCTGTGTGTGCTAAAGGCTTTCTCACATCGCTTACATACAAATTTTTTCTCCCCAGTGTGAGTCCGTACATGTCGTTGATGATGTTGGTGCAATCTGAAAGCTTTCCCACATTGCTGACAAGCATAGGGTTTCTCTCCACTGTGGATTCTTTCATGTTCTTGACAAGTATATTGTCTACTGAAAGCTTTCCCACAATGTTTACATACATAGGGTTTCTCAGCACTGTGAGCCCGCTCATGTTGTTGACAAACACGACCTGTGCTGAAAGCTTTCCCACATTGTTTACATACATAAGGTTTCTCCCCAGTGTGAGTCCGTACATGTGTTTCATAGTCTCTGTGTCTGATAAAGGATTTTCCACACTCCTTACATACATAGGGTTTCTCCTCCATGTGAGTCCATATATGTGCTTCACGATCTCTGTGTCTGACAAAGGCTTTCCCACAATGCTTACATATATAAGGTTTCTCCCCAGTGTGAGTCCTTTCATGTATTTTCTGAACTGCTTTTCTGCTGAAAGCTTTCCCACAATGCTTACATACATAGGGTTTCTCTCCTCTGTGAGTTCGTTCATGTTCTTGACAATTATATTGTCTACTGAAAGCTTTCCCACATTGCTGACATACATAGGGTTTTTCTCCTGTGTGACTCCATTCATGGTTTTGACAAACAGCATTTGTGCTGAAAGCTTTGCCACACTGCTTACATGCATAAGGTTTCTCACCTGTGTGAGTCCTTTCATGTATTTTCCAACCAACCTTTCTGCTGAAAGCTTTCCCACATTGTGTACATACATATGGTTTTTCCCCGGTGTGAGTCCGTTCATGAGTTTGACAAATACCACTTGTCCTGAAAGCTTTTCCACATTGCTTACAGGCATAGGGTTTCTCCCCAGTATGAATTCTTTCATGTACTTGACACTTATGATATGTGAGGAAACCTTTCCCACATTGCTTACATACATAAGGTTTGTCCCCACTATGGATCCTTTCATGTTCTTGACAACAATCTTGTCTGCTGAAAGCTTTCCCACACTGATTACACACATAGGGTTTCTCCCCAGTATGCGTCCGTTCATGTTTTTGACACACACCACGTGTGCTGAAAGCTTTCCCACATTGTCTACATACATAGGGCTTCTCCCCAGTGTGAGTCCGCACATGTGTTTCACAATCTCTGTGTCTGACAAAAGCTTTTCCACATTGCTTACAAACATAGGGTTTCTCCTCTGAGTGAGTCTGTACATGTCTTTGGCAATTTCTGTGTGATCTGAAAGCTTTCCCACATTGCTGACATACATAGGGTTTCTCTCCACTATGGGTCCTTTCATGTTCTTGGCAATTATCTTGTCTGCTGAAAGCTTTCCCACACTGATTACATACATAGGGTTTCTCCCCAGTATGGGTCCGTTCATGCATTTGCCAATTATCTTTTCTGCTAAAAGCTTTCCCACATTGCTCACATATATAGGGTTTTTCCCCAGTGTGAATTCTTTCATGAACTTGACAACTATAATGGGTACCAAAAGCTTTCCCACACTGGCTACATACGTAGGGCTTCTCCCCCGTGTGAGTCCATTCATGCATTCGCAAGTTATCTTTTCTGCTGAAAGCTTTCCCACATTGGTTACATAAATATGGTTTCTCACCACCGAGACTTCTTTCATGATTACTCAATGAATTGTTAGTGAAGGATTTTCCATGGTGTTTATTATATACGTGGGCTTTTTCTCCAGAGTGAGCTTTTTGATACGTCTGATCATTGTGGTGAGAATTAAAACTTTTTCCCCATGGTATACATTTATACGTACTCACTTTACTGCAACTTCTTTCCCCAGTTTGAACATCATTGGGTGTAATGAATGACATGATATCTGGCTTCTCTTCAGTGTTACTTTCTTCAGTGCAATCAAAATAGGACTTTGCACATAGCATAAATTTATGGAATTTCTCCCCAGGACATGTTTTTGTGTATTTCTGAAAAAATTGGGATTTTGTGCAGGCTTTGCCAAGTTTGTAACAGGTAGGAAGTTTCTCTTGCAATCCCAGCTGCTCACATAGCTTGAGTGCAGTGTCAGCCATGGTGGGCCCATCTGCTGGTGAGGAACCAGACAGAGCCTTTCTAGAGGAAAGGCTTTCACCTGGTTTGGTACCAGCGACTGTCAGGTGCGTATCTGTATCTGGAGTCTGAGAAGCCATTTCATGTTTATGCCATAATGTATGTTCACAGGATTGCTCCAGCTCTTCAGTTCTGTAAAAGGGGACAGAAACAAAACAACCAATCACATTTCATGTCTTTCAGTAATGCCTCACTGTGAGCAGATCTGGCCTGATGCTCCCTAAAAATATTGAATCATCCACTTACTGTACACACTGCATGGTGGCTTGGACAAAGCTGTGACCCAAATAGGACTCACTTGGGAGTTTGTAACACCCGTTTGTAATACTCAATGCTTACTTTCATTCTGAGTTATTAGAATATGGCTAGATGATGGGCTAGGGACATAGCTCAGCAGTCTAAGCACCTGCCTGACCAGCACAAGGGCTCGAGTTCAATCTCCAGTACCACATGCCATGCAGTCATGCTGGCCACCAAAACTAGGCATGGTGGCACATGCCTATACTGGCAAGGCTGAGACAGGAGGATCACTGAGAGTCTGAGCTGCGTAGCAAGACCCTGTATCAAATAAATACATAAATAAAAGATTTTTACAAAAGAATACATCTAGATGAAATGTGTTCCATATATTAATGATGTTTTCACATTTTTCCCCTTGACCCCATCCTTTCCCTTCCACTGAGCCTCTCTGCCCACTCCAAAACGTTGACTTTCTTTTTTCTACCATCTCTTCTCCATTTAATTCAATTTGTGTGATTCTCATGCAAAATATAACTTGTGATATTGAAATTTTTCTATTTGATTTTTTTAGGGTCAGGGAGACGGCTCAGTGGAATAAGTGCTTCCCTGGCAAGCGCGAGGGCCTGAATTCATTCTCTGATTCCGCAAAAAAAAAAAAGCTCCTATTTGATTTATTTAATCTAGCATTATTGTCTCTAAATCCAGCCATACTTTGGCAAGTGGCGTCACTTCACTCTTTTGTGAATGACAGCATTCCATTACGTGTACGCACCAGGGGTCTTTCAGTGCTGGAAATTCAGTTCCAGGTTTTAACACAGACACAGCCGCAGACTTCTTTACTTTGATTTGGAAACAGTCCCGATCACTAAATTGCCGAAGCTGAACATGAGCACAGGGGAATGCCAACTTGCCCGGCAGTCTGTTCTTTTACATGACTGCAATGATGTCATCTTTGGCATGATATGAATACCAACTACATTTCAGATATTGGGATATTTCACATACTCAGCTGTCAAGTTAGAGATACTCAATACGCATGTTTTCCTTGAAACCCTGATGAGAGTAACGAAGTCTGAGCACCACCTTCTGTGTAGGAGGGTTAGTACTCTCACACATGAGGAAACTTTTCTGAGTGCAAATTACCTTAGACGTTTCCTATAATGTCTGTACTTATCTTCCAATTGCTGACCATCAGAGTTTCGTTCTAAAGCATAGAAACAGAAATATAATGTTGATTTATTACACTACATCAAAATCAGTAATTCCAGTTTGATTTACAGCACAATGTGATTATGCCTGGAAGATGCATCAGAGCTTCTACCAGGAAGGAAACTGTGCTAATGAGCACAACCCAAGGCTGACTGCACGAATGAGAAGACGGGACGCTCCTCACCTATGGCAGCCAGGTTCCTGAAGGTCTCCCACATCACGTCTCCGTAGAGCTTCCTCTGGGACAGATTCAGCAGAGCCCACTCCTCCTGGGAGAAGTTCACAGCCACGTCCTCGAGGGTCACTGATTCCTACAAAGCGAGATTCATGACACAAAATATCTCAAGCCCACTCACAAAAGCCCACATGAGGCTGAGGTTTCCAAATGCCTACTTCATGTTTGGTCATCAAGCAGTTACTCTCCGTCCACTGGCACTCTTCACACAGAGAGTCTGATGTTACACTGGAATCCAGTGCTAAGGCAACAGCAGAATGGGGACTTCTACTGGATAAACCCAGGCTTACTTCTACAAAGCAACATTAAAGGAGCACAAAAACCAGAATTCAAGGGCCTGGGAGATGGCTCAGTGGAATAAGTGCTTCCCTGGCAAGCACAGGGGCCTGAGTTCAATCCCCGGTTCCGCAAAAACAGACAAACAAAAAACAGAATTCAATGAAAAAGTAAGCAGAAATATATCTAATGAAGTACCCTGAGGGATCAAAGAAAATACCCTTTATTTTTCAACCTATTATTTAGGGAATTGATTTCTGCTCTGATTTTACTGAGGCAGCATTTTGAAACGTCAATCTGCTTTCACAGACAAAAGCTTAATTTGACACTAAGCAAAAGTTATGATAGCTTGGAAAGCTAAGAAAAACAATTACACTCTCTGCTGCAGAAAGTCTTAATAGCTGGGAAGTGAGATTAAGGGGTCACACTATCCTGAGTCAGTAAAATGAAAGGTGGAGTAAGAGAGAGAAATGGGGTGCATATGATTACAGCATAGGAAATACAGTAATCACCCACACTGTGCAGACTTCACAGACACTAATAACGAAAGGGAAAATAATAAATCTTCTCAGTACCAAATACACCTGGACATATGAGTGAAGGAGAACTGCCTCGAGTTCAAGGCCAGCCCAAGATACATAGCGACTACAGAGGCAGCATGGACTATACAGCAAAGCCCTGTGTGAAAATATAGAAAGAAGAAACCAAAGAAAAGAGGGTAGGGAGGTGGTGTGCCAAGGAGAAAGGACAGGTGGACGGAAAGGGAAGAAATATAGAGGCAGCAGCGGCGTCCCTACCAACGACACCTCTAGACAAAGGCGCTCTGAGGTAAGGGTTTGTGGGTGAGGCTGGCGTCATGGTGCTCTGACCCTTGTCCCTGAGACTGAAAATGAGAGTATGAGGTATAAAGCATGCAGAACTTTTCAAGGAGCCCTGTTGTTTCCAAAGTGGGGAAAGAAGGCAACAGAAAGGAAGCGCCACAGTGTGTTGACAACTACATTAAGTAAACCGCACTTGAGAAGGATTTCTGCTGTCCCTCCGTGCAGTGACCCTCCAGACGGAGCCATGACAGACACAGGACAGCTCAACGACAACCAAGTCACCTGTGACATCTGACACGCTGAGAAAAATTTCCTCTCACCGAAGTCCAACATTAAATGTAAGATGTTGCAGAGACAACTTGGAGTTCCACTCGGACTCACACAAGACAAGGTGCAAAAGTACAATTGTCTCTAAAATGTGGTAACTGGGCAAACTTGTGTGAGATTCTTTCTCAGCACTGAGACCCAATACCCAACACACACAATTTAAAGGCGGAACAGTGGATTTGGGTTCACAGCGTGTAGAGGTTTCCCCATAGTTAGCTGGCTCCAAGGCAGGGTGGCTTGGCAGAGGGGCACAGCACACACAAGCTTGCTCGTGGCATGGCATTGGGAGGCAGGGAGCCACCAGGGCAGAGGAGGGACACAAATACACCCGAGGCACACCCCCAGTGACCATCTCTTCCCACCGGGCTTTATAAGCCCAACATCATGCCCAGCTGTAAACCCACCAGAGGACTAAGCCAGGTCACACCATAATCTAGCCTCCCCCAAAGCCCATTTAGGATTGCATGATGTTTGGGAGAATATCTAGATTTGAACCCTAATAATGTCCCAGGACGAAGCCCCAAGACACTTGTAGTGACCAGGGCCAATGCACATAATATGAGACAGGCATGACAAGGCACATACAGCGCAGCACCTACAACCAGGAGGAAGGGCTGAAGGGTGGGGACGCAGCTCAGCACAATGTCCTGAGCTTCATTCCTGGTTAAAAAAAAAAAAAAAAAAAAGGCAAAGTATAGCAAAAGCTGAAGCACATGTGACACAGCACCGGAGGCACGGCAGGGAGCTGAGCTTCCATTCTCAAATGGACGAGCTGGGGATGTAAGTGGCACAGGGCCAGGAAGCTCAAGTCCGTGTTGGCGTAACACTGACTACAGGAAGGCACAGGAAGCTGGAGGCATGGCAGACAGGAATGAGGATCAGGTTACAGCACATCACACTGCGCATGTTTCTCAAAAACTATTCTCAAATTGGGGTGCTGTATCCATCACTTATTTGTTATAAAGTGTTTGATTAGTCCGCCTTTTAAAGCTCAAAATCTCTACGCTCAATTTTTAATTTGCGCTGCTTGCTGGACTCTGAGCATTCCTTTTCTCTTGCTGTTCTTCCCCTCCCCCTCCCCATCACAACGCCCCTTCGCTCTCAGAGCAGCGCCCCTAGGGGTTTCAGCATCTGCTTATTCTGCGTGCGATATCTGGATGAGTTAGATAGAGAGGCACCCCATGGGGCGCTTGTTAGACAGGGTTCTTCAGTCTGCGTGCTAACTGCGCAGACCACTGGGAGGGAGAGCAGCAGTGGCCCGAAGCT